AGATCGTAGGCTGTACGCTCTAGGCGTGACAGCAATGAGAATCGCATGGCAACGAAAAATAACAACGCATATCACTCCTGCTCTCGCTACGTGTTATTTTTCGTTGTCATGCGATCCTCGTTGTTGTCACGTTTTAGAGTGTACAGCCCACGATCTAGCTACGCGCAACGCGCGATTATTCATCAATCCCCTTTAATTAATATCTCAATTACTATTGCGAAAATTGCAAAACGGTAAAAGACTTTTCTATTCAGTTTACCGCACTCTATTCGCACACAAGTGTTGGCACGAACATTATGAAACACCCTGTATATATATTAATTATATAATATAAATCTATAATATTTGTATATCTATATATTTTTCTTACATTACCTATATCCTTTCATCAGAATATTCCATGAAAATACGCAGAATATTCTCTGAAAATTTATTTAATATCCAGAGAATGTCCTTATAATATTTACGGAATATAATTAAACTATTATGTGAAGTAATTAGAATATTCATCTTAGAACATATATACTGGAAGGGGCATAGCTGACTTGCCGTTGTCCTCAACATCTATCTGTCCTTGTCTGTACATTTTATTGCAATACGTCGATTATGTTGATGTGTGTGATGACAAACTAGACAAGCTTATCTATGACAAGCCTTCCAAATATAATCAAGTCTAAAGAAATAATCATAAAAAAGTATACAAAACTAATACTATTTAAACTTCAATGAAGTTTTTAAATATTTTTTTAATTATTTATTATAATAATTTTTATTGTACTAGTTACTATATATACAAGATATAATTAAAATAAGATAACAAACTTTAGAAGAGCGAGAATATTACATAATAATAAATATTACTTTTTATTTTTATTAATAATATATATTTTATATCAGTAACAGTGGGTTTGACGGACATATGTTGATGTCAAATTTTTTTCATGTTTGGTCTCGCTCTTCAAAGTTTGTTATTTTATTTTAGTTCATCCTATACATCCTGTATATAATTATTGTTCATTACATTATTTGTTTTTGGTTATGTGCATCATTATTTTTATTTTATTTCGCAAGACTATTATTACATATTACTACATATTATTATATATAATTTATAATATATTGCAATTATATTATAATATAACTTAAAGAATAAATTGTTATAATCAAATTTTCAAATGCTTTCCACCTATTTTAAATCTTTCTACTTTCAACTTAAGCGGTTATTCATTCGCGCAAGCGCATTGACCGATTTCGTACAGACAAGGATAGATAGATGTAGGGGACACTTTTGTTATGTATATTTAGATAGGCTGTGCCCCTTCCAGTATATATGTTCTAAGATATTCATACAATATTCTATAGCATATTCATAGGACGTTCACAGAACGTGACTTTTTGTCTACTTCTAATGTTCCACTGGAAGTTCACAGGAACACCAATCATAATGTAAGAATATTCTAGGAATATTCAAACATTCTCTAATATTATTCTATGAATGTTCATAGAACGTACTTGTGCTGTCTGGGAAGAGGTGATTCAGCAATTATCGGACACCCTGTATACAACATGTTATAGTGCATTTATATTGTTGAGTGAAATTATAATATTGATGTAATATTACTGTTAGTTGATGTTTACTAAGTATTTTGTAATCCTTTATCTATTCTAAAACTATTCCTCTTAAATTCCTAAAGTATACACATCTGTTAGTATAGAATAATACTATATGAATACTCCAAGAAATTTTCAAGAATTCCAATTATCGTGCATATAACTTCCTGAATCATTCTTATAGTATTCTATGAATTTCTAAAGAATTACAATTCAGGAAAGAAGAAAACTTGAAGAATACTTTGCGAATTCACTGTGCTATCTGGAAACTTATCACAATCTAAAAAAATTGGTTATTAGATTAGATTTGGTAAAATTAAATTTTCAAAAAATGTCAATGTTATCAAAATATAATAATAAATAATAATAAATTATACATAAAATACATATATTATCATCATTATTGTCATCTAAAATATGTTCAAATGGTGGCATTAGATTTATATTTTCTTGATCTGAAGAGTCTAATCATTCGTTTAATATCATGAGATGTGCTATGTTGATCACTGCACTAAAACATTCTTTATACTTGCTTACACTAGCTTGTCTCCGCTTGCACTAGTTCAGTTTAATTCAGTGCAGCGTGAACTTAATGCAGCAATAAAAAAACAAACCCATTTGAGATTCGGATTTAATCTCGGCTCTTTTCAGTTCGCGGTCTCGCGTGTAAATACACAATCGTTCTTTTGCGCATTGCATGTAAACTTGACGCGAGACACCACCATGTCTCTTGATAAAAGTAATACATAATATACAGTATCACATAATATAAAGTATCACATGCACTTTATTAAAAGTGACTTATTGACTCGATATTTATCTTGAATTCAAAATCACTTGCTTATTCAAGCGACTTTTTTTACCATATAAATTTTAGTATATTTTATTCATTAACACCCGAGAAAAAATGCTATAATATTGGTCAGATGTAAATA